CGCCTTAGAAATTTTATTTCATTGCCTGTGGTCTTGTCTTATCTAGTTTGGATGAGTTTCTTCCTGTACTTTATGCCATTTGCCTTTCCTTTGTAACTAACCATTTACTGGATTTTATATATGTTTTGTTCTTTCGTGCTTTATGTTCTCATTTTCTTAGAGGGTGCTCATTAGTGTCCCCCAATTTTTTGGGGGGACAACTTAAATGTCTGAAAATGTGTCCTGATTTTCACTTTACATTTAAGTTTTTAAATTGGAATTCAAGACTAAGACTTTTTCATTAATACTAGAGGCATTGCTTCCCTATCTTAGTTTTTAATGCTCCTCCCATTCCTTCATTTTTCATTCATTTTTTTCCCCACTCTGGAAACTTACAGACTCTTTTTAAAAATTTCTGGTATTTTGAAATTTCAGAATGATGTATTTTGTTCCTTTTGATTCCATTGAGTGACTGAGTGGTTTGCAGTCTGAGACGTTGTAGTAAAAATAGGGGTATGAATAATTAAGAACCTTGGCCCTAATGTGGATGGCTGTGGCAGAGAAAGGAACTCAGGTGCTGTTGGGTGAGTGTTGGAACCCTAACTGCAGTGAGGGCGATTCAAACCCACTAGCTGCACCAAAAGAGAAAGATGAAGCGTTCTGCTCCCGCTAAGATTTCCAGGCTCAGACACTCCATATATGGTTGCTATGAGCCTGAAGCAATTGAAGCCGTATATGGAGTTTATGTATGGCCGTGACTGGTTTTTGGTATGGGAGAGAGTTATTTGTCACTTTATTTTGTACATCACCCCTTTCAACTTGAAAACCTCGTGTCTAGAGACCTCATTCAAAATTCTTTCTCCAGAAAATAAATTAGAAAAACTTTTAATTTATAAAAACGTTCTTATAGTAACAGTTTGTAATGTCCTCAAACTGGAAAGAATTTAATATTCATACATAATGTCTGTCCATAATGTCAACCAAGTCTACTTCCATGGAAGTTTATTTTAACTCAGAGACCCTACAGGATAGAGTAGAACTCCTTAGGGTTTCCAAGGAGCAGAATGCTTCATCTTTCTCATAAAGAGTAGCGTGTGGATTCAAAATCCTAGCTTTGCACTCAGCAACCCAACATGTAACCCGCTACACAGCAAGGAGGGCTCTTTACATCCATAATCCCCCAAATGAAACCCATTGCTTTTGAGTTAATTCCAACTCATATCAACCCTAAGTACAATTCCTGAGACTGTAAATCTTCATGGGAGCAGATAGCATCATCTTTCTACTATGGAGTGTACGTTGGGCTTGAACTGAGGTTAGCAGTCCAACATTTCATAGGCTCTCCCATATCCCAAACCAAACTCAGTGCCAGGGAATGAATTCCGACTCACAACAAACCTATATAGGAAGGGCAATTTGTGTATGCTCTTAACAGGTAAATACTATGTGAACACATTAGAGTGGAGTTCCTAGAACTACATCAGCAATCGGCTAACCTGTTTATGTACTTTGGACATGTTATCAGGAGAGACTAGTCCTTGAAGAAGGACATCATGCTGGGGAAAGCAACAGGGCTGTGAAAAAGGAAGGCTCTTAACAAAATAGATGGAGACTGGCTGCATTGATGGGCTTAAACATAGGAACAATTGTGAGGATGGCACAGGACTAGGCAGTGTTGAATTCTGTTGGATGAGGGGGTACTGTTGTATGAGGGGGTACCCCCCCTCCTAAAATAAGGAAGGAATATTTTTTAAAGCTAGGCATTTAAATTTTTTTACAAAATAACTATCACCCTCAAAGTACTCACCATTCCACTTAATACAGAACACATTTTGTCAAACCCCTGATTCCATTCTTGGAAACATTTTTGAAACTCATCTGTTTGCATAGCTTACAGCACCTCCCTCTTTTTTTTCTTCACCTCTTCTACATCTTCAAACTGCTGTCTTTTCATGTTCCTCGTCATTTGTGGAAACAAAAAGGTTGCATGGAGCGAAGTCAGGTAAGTAAGGTGCGTAGGGCAAGAGAGGCATGTGGTTTTTTGCCCCAAAGTAGCACACCGGATGGCTGTGTAAGCAGATACATTGTTGAGGTGGCAAAACCAGTCCCCCGTCTGCCACAAATCAGGTCTTTTTAAAAAAAATCATTTTATTGGGGGCTCATACAACTCTTATCACAATCCATACATACATCCATTGTGTGTCAAGTACATTTATACATTTGTTGCCCTCATTCTCAAAACATTTGCTTTCTACTTGAGCCCTTGTATCAGCTCCTCATTATTCCCCTCCCTCCCCGCTCCCTCCTCCCTCATGAAACCTTGATAATTTATAAATTATTATTATTTTGTCATGTCTTACACTGTCCAACATCTCTCTTCACTCACTTTTCTGTTGTGTTCCCCAGGGAGGAGGTTATATGTATATTCTTGTAATGGGTTCCCCCTTTCTACCCCATCTACCCTCCCGGTATCGCCACTCTCACCACTGATCCTGAAGGGACCATCTGTCCTGGATTCCCTGTTTCCAGTTCCTATCTGCCATTGTACATCCTCTGGTCTAGCTGGATTTGTAAGGTAGAATTGGGATCAAGATAGTGGCGGGGGAGGACACATTTGAGAACTAGAGGAAAGTTGTATGTTATATCGTTGCTACACTGCACTCTTGACTGGTTTGTCTCCCTGTGACCCTTCTGTAAGGGGATGTCCATTTGCCTACAGATTGGCCTTGGGTCCCCAATCTGCACTCCACCTCATTCACAATGATATGATTTTTTTGTTCTTTGATGCCTGATACCTGATCCCATCGACACCTCATG